GTTGCATGCAATTGTGGCTGTACATAGTAAGCAATCAGGCTTGGCTATTGTGACAATATTGCACTAACAAATATAGACATAAATGCAGAATCAGTATAAAAAATGGAAAGCTAAGTGGCATTTTGGTGTTGTTCTCTGGATATTATTCTGCTCTGTAAGTCAAGAGGGTCTTTTCCTAAACACCCACTGGAAACAAATCAAGGTATCACTGGACAGTATAACACCTTGAGGAGCTATCATGCATAGCAGTAATACTGTTTCAAATGATATTACTCTGAGGTGTTGGACTATATCAATAAACATTGATATCAATCCTAAGCAGTCTGTTTACAGAGAGCTGCTAGTGACTCCCATGTGACCAGAGCTAACAAGGACAAATTGAGTTCTGGTGGCCTGATAATGGTTGCTACAGTACCAGAGCAGGTACTTTTCCCTGAGAGAATTAGAGCTCACCCACCAGAAAGGTTAAAGGGCAGTTTCTGTGTCATTGGTGGTTGCACATGGGGATGGGAAAGGCCTTTGAAGAGCTCATCACTGTGTAAGTGATCCTTTGCAGGACTCCAGCCTATGTCTCTATTTGCCTGGTTAAATTGAGCAGTACAAGCCACTTGGCTTATAATGGTTTTTGTCTGCTGTGGAACAAGCAGCTGTCTATAAGATGGTAACAGGTGAAAAAATTAAGTTTTTTGTGGCTTTACCGGACACAGAGGTAAACAATAGGTTTTGTTTGGTAGAAAATACACCAGAAAATAGCCTTTTATAGGTGACACTGGGCAAATTCTTTGCTTGGGCTGTCCTGGTTTCCAGCTGCCAGTGACCAAACTGCTCTCAGCTGCACACACAGAAGCTGTTGCTATGTGTGGTGTGTATTGGTGTGGCATTATTACTGCTGTGCCCAGCACCTGGCTCGCTGTGTGAAGGTACACAGTGAAGTGTGTGTTCATCTTCTCTTTTCATAGCCTCACTCTGTGTGTTACTGGTATTCATCCCTATGCTGCATCATGCATTTCTTCCAACGTTTGATTTTTTCATTCCTTCTCCTGGTTTGCTCCTTATGTTCTCTTCCATTTCCATGTTGGTGTGCATTGTGGTGGGTGCTCATGTAGTGATGTGCACAAGTCTCTTGTGGCACACAGGCCACCTGCTTTGCTCTTGCTCTTCCCAGTGAGCCATTACAGCAAGGGCAGGTCCTGCTGACCTTTGTCTGTTGCTCACGCTTTGCAATTTAATTGATTTCCTCAGAGCCCCTGTTTATTCACCAAATATTGCCTCTTCCACATAGCTCTCAGTAACATCTTGTTTTGCACAATCACAAAAGTGAGGGCCGTCACAGAATGAGGAAAACAGGTCACTGTTGCATGAAAAGAAAGTGGTAGACAAGCTCAGGAGTTCAATATTCATATCCATAGTCTCAATGGGGATATGTTATTTTGCAATTTAGAAAGAATATCTGTTAACACATAGCTATGTGTAGATAAACTGAAATTTTACCTCTGCAATGAGTCTTTTATTTTGCTTTATCTGCATTCAAACTTTATCATTATAAATTTATATTTTCTAATTTTGCCCAATATAATCACCTAAATCCTTTCTAAAATATATTTTTACATACCCACAAAATAATCCTGTCAGTGTATTATAAGTTTATCTCAAAATGCTTATTCTAATATTTTAGTTAAGGCTGTGAACTGTGAGCTAGGATAAAAAGTAAGTTTGTGCCATTTGAAGGTGTGTTTGTTTTGCTCTTACAGTATAGGATCATATATATATGGAAATGAACCACAAATTGTTTTGCTTAAGCACTAAAAGGAATTCGTGAGACAAGAAAGGACAAATATTTATTCAAATACTTGAAATAGTGACCATTTGAATATACTGTTTAGGTAATTCTAGAGTCATTTGAACACAAACTGAGAAGAAGACAGTAGTTTTCTTCTACTAAGTTTAGATCTATACATAACACCAAGAAATGAAAGACAAGGTGCTGTGGCTGAACTTTGTACCTTTTTACTAATAGAGGCTTTACTCTTGATAGGGTATAACATACTTGTGAAGGGTGACAGTGTGTGACTGTTCTCTGCCCTGGAGGGCTTGTTATTTCAGAGTAAACAAGAACCCTGTGCACATGCAATGCTGGGCCAAAAAACTGATTAGGCTGTGTCAGGGTTCTCATTATTCTAGCTACAGGAAATTTAACATTTTGCTTTCATTATTCAATCAGGTGCAGCTCTGTTACTGATAACTTTGAGATGTTGAACCAAAATGCAGTTTTTGCATGGGGCCTCTGCAGGATATTTCCAATTTTGCTATATGTTATTCAGAATGCTGATTTATGAGCCAAATGTTGTTCTGCACTGTTTCAATGGATTTTAAATTTGTAGTTTAGCCAAACATATTTTCCCTTGAGTAGTAAAGACTTTTGTTGTGATGAAAGAATGGCCTCCATGGTCATCAGATTTGTGTAGCTGAACTTGGTTTGGGGAAATAATTATATATAAGTGGAATCTGTTGAAGAGGTATGTCTACCTGCTTTTCAGGACAAAGATAAATAGAGAAATGTTGAGTTTCTCTTTTAAATATGACTGTTTTCTGTTAATGTTCAAAGAGTGAAATTTGGTGGTTATCGTGTGATTTAACAGAGGCTTTTTGTTTGCCAGACCAGAGATTTAATTTTTTTTCAGTTTGGCCCTTTGGCAGCTATATCTTGCAGAATCTTTTTTCTCTGCCATTTCTGCCCACACTGTTAAGTGTAAGTTGAAATTTTCTGTTGCAATGACCATAAATCAAGAAATTACAAACTATTTCATGGTAATGTTTGATAGTGAAGACACATGGTCTTAAGTCTGTGTAAAATGAAGAATAACACCATCATATTTCTAACCACTGTCCTCATTAGAGACCATGCCAGCTGTACAGATGGATGACATTGTGTTATGTGTGCAATGGAATAATAAGTGCAAACATCCATATTTCACAATTTTTTGAACAGTAGAAGCTTTAGAGTTGTCATTTTCCATGTAATTTAAATTATATATATTTTAGACACTAGCCAAAACAACACACATGTGGAATACAAAAAAATGCTGAAAGCAATAGACAAATACATCTAAACTGAGTATTAAAAGCATTGCTATAGTTTGTTACTCAAAAATCTTATACTGGCTCTGCTGGGCTAATGTGGCATGAGTGGGAATTAAAAGACTCTGTGGTGAGAACTGCTAGGAAGGTAATACCAAAAGCACTTGACACTGTAATAGGCAAAGAGCAGAAGTTCTGCATTGAAGAGTTTGTAATCTGTGCAAGACAGGGTAAGCGAAAGGGAAGTCAAGCATTTTCTTAGAGAATGATGTTTGATTTTAAGCTCAAGTGGTTGTTAGTTTTTACAGAATTGCTAACAAACTTCTCCAGGTATGAAAATTAGGCGACGAGAACCTTTAATTTGTAGCCCTTTTAACTTTAGGGTGTGTGTTAATGAGTCTGCTATGGAGCTGCAGGTGCCGTGAATTTTGAAGTGCTTGTTTTCAATCACATTTTGCCTGGACACCTGAGTTTCAATCAGTTTTTGCTTGGCTCTGCAGAAGAGGTTATGAAGACATCCAACAGGAGTCAAGATTTCAAAGCTTCCAGATTCAGTGGAAGTTTAGAGAGAAAAGAGTAAAGTGGCAGGAGTGTGTAGTGAGGCTGAGTGAAGAAATTGGATAAATGAGAACACAAGTCAGCATTCAATGAGAATGAGATTCATGCAGGAAAATGTCCTGTTTTCACATAGGAAAGGGCTTTCCAAACCCCTGTGAAGTTTCTAGTAGTAGGCTAAGGCTATTTTTATGATTTTTATGCTCCAAATACTGTTATTTTCTGGGTGCTTATCTTCTTTGCAAAAAGGATGATTTCAATGTAATGTAACCAGACCTATTGGATTGTGGGGGAGAATGGAATTAACAACACTTAAGTAATTTCAGCAGGTGGGGTAGGACCTTCCTGATCTTAACTTTGCAAGGTAGGTACCACAAGGTACTTGAGGTGTTTACTGTAATGCTGCTTTCTGAAATCTCCCTGGGGGGATTGCTTGTGGATGCTTACCTCTGTTTTCTTAAGTGCTGTAAAAATTCAGACATAGAATCTCTAACCTGGGACCAGGATCACATGAGGAATTAGGACAGTATGGAAACAGCAACCTGGCTTGAGTTGCTGAATCTGATGTGAGCTAATCTAGGCTGCTTTGTACTACACAATTTTTCTACACTTAAATTTATTGCAGATGAACAAATATTTATAACATTTCTATGTATTAATTAAAAGAGAATAGATATTCTAAGTAAGGATGGTGCCAGCTGGGTACATTCCTAAGAAGATGGCAGGTGTTGAGGGTCAGCTTCATCTCCAGGGTTTTAGCAAAGTAAAATGTACTTTCTACATTAGATTATCTAGTGGCTAAATTCTGCCTTTAAAATCAGCTGCAATTAAGTCTGAACTATATACTACCTTCATGGGTATAAAATTTTGAAGATAATTTCAGGGTTATAACTGATGTCATAGAGAAACTGTTTTCAGGGTTATAACTGATGTTATAGGACTGTTTAAGTAAGCGTGGCAACTAAAATGGATGGAAAGCCAGGCTTTCCAGGAAGCTGATACACTTTCAGCTGAGCGGTATTAGAAAAATAGGAGATCGGGTCCTTAGCAGCACTCTTAGCTGTTACACACTCTATACTATCATCATGTACAGACTGGGAAGAACAGCTCTCCTCAAGTGTCCGGCCTGAGAGAGACCTGAACCAGCGCGGTCTGTGGGTTCCAGTGGCTCGGACGAGGCAGCCCGGGCAGCGCTGGGGTCCCGGCGGGGTCCCCGCGATCCTTGGCGCTGCTCCGGGCCGGGCGTGCGGCTCTGCGGGCTGGTTTCAGCAGAGGGCACTCTGTTCCTAACGATAGAGGAGGCGCCTTCCCGTGCTGGTGAGAAACCTAAACAGATTGGAAAAGTTTCCAGTGCAACATATTTGAACAAACTCTTCATCGGTTATGTTTAGTTCGCTGGAGCATATTTTTAACTTCAGTGGCAGGGATCAGAGCCCTTTCTCTACGTGCTGCTCTTAGCGGACTCGGCGAAAGCTTGGAACATCAGGGGAAGCCGTAGCGCAAAGGTAGAGGATTTTGGCGTTCCTGTTCAGAAGCTCGAAGCTCAGAGGGAGAACGAGAGCAAAGCTGTCGTACGAGACATATTCGCCAGATTTACAGTAGGAAACCTAAAATTATTGTAGAGGGCAGCATGATTAAAGACCTACTCGGTGTGCGAGCAGATTTGTAGCTGTATAGCGAGAGTTACTCGCAGATGAGACACAGGATGGTTGCGGTTTTGGAAGCTGCTTTGCATCAGATTCGGGGGCTGGCTTCACGGTAGCTTTAGCCCCTCGGGGGAAGACGAACCGCTTGGTCCCGGGCTGTCGGGGTCTCGGCCCCCGCCATCGGAGCGTCGCCAGTGCCGCGGGGGGGACCGGGCTCGCTTGGCCGCCCGCCCGCTCGGGCTGGCCGGGGAGGCAGCGGCTGCGCGGGGGGTGCCGGGCGAGCGGCGGAGCGGGAGCCGGGCCGGGCCGGGCCCCGCGCCGCAGGTGGAGGCGCCTCCGGCCGGGGCCGGGCTGCGGCGGGGGCGGCCCGCTGCCAGCAGCCTGTAGGACCTTGGCTGGGGCGCGGCGGTGGGCTGGAGCCTGGCGTGAGGGAGGGGCCGCCGCTGGCGGGGCAGGATGCTGCATCCCCGCGCCGTGACAGCCGAGGCTCTCCCGTGCGCCGGCCGTGCCCGGCCCGCTCCCCGGCGCGCCGCTCCAGGTGGGTGAGCCCGGGACAGGACAGCCCCGAGCCTCTGCCCGAGCGGGGTCCCTCGGCAAGAGGAGGGGGGCGGCCGCGGTGCGGGGCGAGGGTCGCTCGGGAGGATCCCCGTGAGGGCACGGCGGAGCTCCGGGAGCGCAGCACCGGCACCTGGGAAATAACACCGGAGCCTGGCGTGCTCGGCCGCTTGGGGCTCTCGGCAATGCCTGGACAGAGGGGAAAAATAATGTCTTCTTTTATTGTCATAGTTGATACTTTTGAACGACAAAAGCATCCAGGAGTGCTAATGATTTTGGGAGGAAGGGAAACTATGTTTTTGGAGGGAGGAAATAAAACGCTTTTTTCTGTAAGGAATCTTAATTATGTTCGGTTGAACAGGTGCGAGAGCTGTTTTTGTAGATGTTTTCCTTTGGGATGCCTGCTTTTTTAGAAAGGAGTACTTTATTTGAAGAAGTTTGTATTCACTGTGCGACTTGGCAAACTGGTGGGGTGGTGGCTGAGGGGAAGGAGGGCTGTGTGTGTATTGGGGATGCATAAAACTTGCACTGCTTTCAGATCACTCTGGTAGTGTACAGTCTAAGGCAATAGGGTGCATTGGCACAAGAAACTAACAGAATTATTAATATTATTACATGATGGTGGTTTTGGCAATTTTAAATTGTCAAGCCCATGCTGACCTTGTAATTGTGATGATCACTAAATTGATGGATTTTTTCTGAACTATTATTAAGCCCTAATTGTTTAGCCTCTGAGCTTTCAAAGGCAGTGCAAATGACTGCTGAAATCCCAGGGCTGGCCTTTCATCTTTGAATTGTGAAAGTGCTGGAAAGTACATCAGGTGTTCTGTGCTCCTTGGATTTTACATTCAAGAGATCAAGGTGGGAGGGCCTCCCAATCTGATAAATTCTCCTACATTCAGGAGATAGCCGAGCCTGTCCGCTGTTGCCAGCTCCCCAGCCCCTCGCTGCGGTCCCTTTCCGTGCCCTACCGGAGCTGCTCACCCTGCAGGCTGTGCTCATGGCATGCGCTGCGCCGACCGCCCCGGCCAGCACAGCAGCGCTGCGCTGTTTGCATTGCGCCGCTTCCAGCGGCCGGCCCAGTTTGCTTTAGTCATTGAAATCCTGGCGGAGCCCACTTGATTTTGTTTGTAACTTGAAACAATTTCTCTCCGCAGAGCCCCAAGGCATGAGGATGGCCAGCCCTAAAGCCACCGGGCTGTCCTGGGAGATCACTTGGCTTGCTTTTGCTCTCTATGCTCACCTACAGGTAGGTAATAAACTTGGTGCTGTTGTCATCTCTGGTCCTGCATCAGGTGATCTTGCTGCACACTTTGCATTACTGTTTTAAACCAGGAAACTGCTGAAGGAGCTGCTCTGTAATTAAAAGTCTCCCAATGAGAACATTTTCCTTTCACCAAACTTTCATAGATGTTTGTCTGGGAAATGAATATTCTCTCTCCTGCTCAATACACTGTAGCTGACTTTACCAAAGGGTGACCGAAGGGAGATCTTTCCAGATGTGTAATGCCATGGGTCTTTGTACGCAGCACAGCTGTTCTTTGCCCCCAGGAGTTTAAGCACCTGATAAATGTTAAGGTGCTGGAAGTGACAAGGGTTATAGAAGTACCTTGGTAGAAACATCTAAAGCATTTGGAAGTGGGAAGGTGGCCCAAAAAGGTCTTTGCTCCAAGTGTTCAATGAGTACAGGAACCATGGAGAAAAAACATAGCTGCCATCTGATCTATTGCCTGACACATGAGCCTAATCAGTTCCAAGAGGGGTGAGTATTTCAAGAAATATGGTGTACTGTGTGCTGCAGAGATGTGTTACAGTATGTCATTCTCTACACTGATAGTTCCCACAGTGCAACATGTTTCAAGGATTCTTCAGTCTTAACTACACATAAATCCAAGAAATCCTTAGAAAAAGATTACTAAAACTGAGAATTATTTTTTTTATAGTAAATAGGAACCTTTTTTGTAGCATTGTAGTAGTTTTCAACGGAAAAGTAAATTTTTAAAGTAAGATCAGTGTTGTTGTGTACTGTTCGTACTATTGCAATGCTGAGAAGCAGAGCCTGATGTGCTGGGCAGGATATAAACATACATCCTGAAGAATTTTGAATTGAAGAACAATACAGCATGCAAAAGGAGTATGAAGAAACTGAGGAGACTGTGCTGGAGTAAGCTGTGATCAGTTTATGGTGAATGTTGAAGTTCAAGGTAGTGGGAATGGGGCTCCCCTGCATCCTCAGTAGTGCTGCTGAGTGCTGTGAGTGATTTGGCAGGTGAAGAACACCTCCTGTCTGTGGGCATGGTTGCAGCTGACCAGTGCACTGGTTACTTGAGTAAACAATTTGCCATTAAAGTAAAAATTGACATCTGTATTAATTGTGCAGTGAAACACAGTGTATTCAACACAAGTCTGAGCAGATAGGGCCACAGTGGGATCTGCTTTCTGCCTGCATGTTTCTTATGCAAGGACAAAATTGTTACAGATTGGCTGTGCCTGTTGAGCTTGTATTTTTGTGTGCAAGCAGTTGAGTGATGCTGTAATAACCAGCCCTATAAAACACTCAGGAAATAGTTCATGGAGTTCTGTTAATAGTTCTGTTCAAGATAAGAATAGAAGCTCAGAGAAGGGACATGTTAATTTTGGTTTTGTGCCTTTTGGTTATGAAGGGACCATTTTTTGCTTTTAAAGTATTTCTCTTGTATTTTTTCTTTCATATTTTTCTTATTGCAGAGCTGGAACCAGTAGTGGCATAGTTTCCTCTTCTCCACAAATGGTTTGGCATAGCTTCACTTGTCTCTTTATAATAAAAACAACCCAAACACGTTGTAGTAATCAATTGGCTATTGTGAGTAGCTTTATGAACACTTCAATCCAGGTCAAATTTTATGGTCTTGATTGTCCTTTAAAATACTGTAATCTGTTTGGCATATTTGAGTTATTAGCACTTAACCCCAATCTTGTAGGAGGCCTTTTTGCTCCTAAGTTTTAGGTGTTTTATCACAATTTTAGGCACATTAAAGATATTTTATATTATTTAACATAACATTTTTGGTATCCAATAACCATTAATTCTTTAATTGGTTGCTTGGGGCCATACTAAATGGACCACACACAGTCATTTTACCCTAATATTGTACCATAACTTCTACTTCTGTTGTTTTTGGCTATTAAAGTGCTTATGTCTAGAGCTAATCAATTAGAAACAATTGGATGCTGGGCAAGGTCACAAGTCTGTGTCATATCACTTATGTGCAATTGATTAATTTCATCCTGCTTGAGGCAGGTACAGAATACAAAAAATGACAATTTAAAATGAATGTGGTGGAAATGTGGTATGAATGTAATGCAAAGAAAACTTTAACATGAGAAGTTGTGAAAAAGAGGTAGCTGCTCCTGAGAAGCAATGGAACTTAACTTTGGTTACAGGAGTCCTTTCTGATTCTCCACAGCATGGTAATAAGCAGTGAGGTGTTTACCTGGGCTCCACAATTATCTCAGCTCTTGCAGATGTGCTGTGTCTCAAATTTGACAAAATTATTTTGTCCATGGCAAATGAGTTGCTGTACTAGTAGGTAAATTGGGTTTCCTGGGATAACCCAGGGAATAGTCTACCCCTGAGCATTGTTGAGCTGGCTGATTGTTAAATCTGCTCTGTGACCTGGAGCAGTGACATAAATCACTCAGGAAGAGATCCCTTGTGGGTAAGGCTTGGCCATGTTCTTTTGCAAGTACGGAGCTGACCTTTTCTTGTATGTGCCAATATAAATGAAATTAATGGAACTGCGTGAGTCTAAAGCCAGTGGTAATACAAGCAGATTACATATGGATGTTTTTCTTGAAAACAAACAAGATACTTGTCTATCAACATGGAGTAACTCATTGTTTCTGAAGATTTAAATGATGGCTGTATCCAAAGAAGTTACTCTGTTCTACCTATTATGTGTATTTGGGAATGTTAACATCCCTAGCATTGAATTTATTGCTAAATTTTGTTTAAAAGGCTCCTCATTTTTGTCACATTGTAGCAGGAGAGCTAATAATTCTACAGATTTTAGGAGAAGGTTAAGCTAACAAAGGAGAAGTCCAAGCCCAGTTCTGCTGTTTTGAAGTGATCTCTTGAGTACACATTGCTTCATATTGGTAATTGAAAAGACAGGATGTTCAGCCTGGTAACCAAGTCTTTCTTAACCTTGTGATGATATTTTATTACACCATTCAACTAGATGCTGTTATATTTGTTATGAAATGTATGTGGGACTGTATATCTTTATAGTCTCACTAATGGATTACTGGCAGGAAGAAACGATGGCTATCAGATTTGTATGGGCAAATATATATCAAGAATTTTACACATGGATTCACTTTAGATTTATTCTCTGGTATGTTGTTTTCAAATCAGGAATAAGCTGATATTTTCTTAGGTTCCTATGGTCTAAATTAAACCCTCTACAAGCCAGTGCATTTTGCCTCCAAAGACCATGGGGTTGGTAATGTGTGCAGAGGGAGTAACAGCAAAGACACCATGTCTGGGTATTTAAGAAGCATTAAGTCTTGGTTTCTATGGAAGGGAAAGTTTCATAGGTCATAAATTCATTCAATAAACTGTTGGTTGCTTCCATGATTTATGTTCCTGCAATCCCTGCCTGCAGTATGGTCTTTTCTAACTATCTGTGATATTTTGGAAATGAAGGATATACATACTGAAAACATTATTGTCTTCAAAATGATTCTGCCATAACCAATCTGCCAAAAACTACCAACATAGTAAATGTCTTTAGGTCTGAGCTTTGCAAGGCCAAAAATCTGATGTCCATTATATGACATAGTGGACTTGGAGAGCATCTTCATGGAAAACCTTTGGATTATTGTTTTACAGTCACTGAATCTATTGCACACTGATGTCCAGAAAATAGATTGAGCTACATGCCATACAACATTCTTAAGTCTCCAGTAACCATGATCAGAAATATCAGGAGAGATTGACAAGTCCTGAGTTAAACCTGAAGCAGTTTTCAGTTTCTGTAGGCAGGTGGCAATTCTGCACCCATCTGGAGTTTTGCCATCAGCCCCAAAAGGCCTGTGGTTTTATTCTTAGTGTGAAGATTGATTTGCTGCTTCTAAAGACCAATAACATATCTGAGACCCTGTACAAGTATTCTGACTTAAAATATTCATTGCTATTGACAAGGTTGCAACTCAGTGACTGCATTACCAGAAAACTTATGCTTAAGTTTCTGAATGTGCTTTAAATTTATGACTGATAATGATTGCTCAGCCAGTGCTCATAGGATCTGAACTGCTGTTACTCCTAGTTTACAATCCAGTAGTGGAATTGCCTGAAAAGTTGATGTTTCTTGTGACTTGAGGCACAAACTATGTATGAATACCTACTTTTTAAAATGTATCATATAAAATTAAAGTCAGCTATGGGATAGGACCAAAAGTCATCAGTGAAGGCACTGCTTTACTATCTAAGTTATTCATTATGGTGATAATTTATTGTGAAATTACACTGAAAGTTGGACAGAAATTCTCAGATCATTTGTGTGTAGAGCTGCATGTTTTTGTTTCCAAAACCAGATATCCAAGAGTCTGGTATACTTAGAGAAGCCTCAAGGATAGGAATAATTTCTAACAACTGCCAGTGGCTTCTAATTTCTCTTCAAAGAGTCAAGAAATGATGCTCTAGGATGATCTTTGGTTTAGAAGACACTTGAATGCTTGGTCACTGATAATTCCTCATTCAGGTCTGCTTGGGGCAGCTGCATCCCTCATATTCCTTACCAAATTGGGGCATAAACAGCACTGAGGTGGCAGTTTTGCACAGTGCACCAAACTCCATTCCTGCCTTTGCATCACAGAAAATGTACATGATTGATTGTACTGATATTAAAGGTCTTCCTCTGCATCCAGAATTCCAGATTTAGCCATCCAATTTAATGCGTTTTGCTTTGCAAGAACATACATTTTAAAATCTGAGTCCTTTTTATTTGCTGTTACTTCTATAATTTGTAGCTTCATATATTTGTCCTTATGTTCAGTTTTTGTGCTTGAAGCTTTTCTTTAAACTTTTCTCCGTGCTTGCCTGAATCCCCCAGGAGCTCGAATATGGCTTGCAATCAAGTAAAGTGAATTCAGTGATAGGGGAAGCAGACTCATAATCATGCATCTATAGTTGTTAGCATTGTATGTCTATGCAAGAAATCTCGGTTTTAACTTATATCATATTGTGCAAATGTTGTACTTCAGTCA